AGTCCAACACTCTTCTGCAATATAAGAAGGCACCACAATCCACCCCATTTCTCTCTTTCCAGGCACTACATTTCCATACAGCAGACCCCCAATATATCTTTTCCCATGCACCAAACCCATGCATCCCATTGCACCCTTTCCATGCACCAATCCCATGCATCCTACTGTAATGCACTCCACTTTATCACACCCTTTCCCCATGTACTAAGCCCATGCATCCTGTTGCAATTCACCCCATCTATTGCATCCTGTTCCCCATGCACCAAGGCCATGTACCCCATTGCAATGCACCCCATTTCATTGCATCAAACCCACACACCTCACCGCACTGCACCCCATTTATTGCACCCCATTTCATTGCATCCCATTGCAGTGCACCCTATTTTATTGCACCCTTTCCATGCATCCTATTGTAATGCACCCCATTTTATTGCACCCTTTCCCCATGTACTAAACCCATGCATCCTACTGCAATTCACCCTACATGCACCAAGGCCATGCATCCTATTGCAATGCACCCCATTTCACTGCAGCAAACCCACACACCCCATTGCAATGCACCCCATTTATTTCATCTTTCTCCACGCAGCCCATTGTAGTGCACCATTTCACCATGCACTAAACTAATGCACTCCATTGCAATGCACCCCATTTTATTGCACTCTTTCCCCATGCATCCTATTGCAATTCACCCTATTTATTGCACCGTTCCCCATGTACCAAAGCCATGTACCCCATTGCAATGTACCCAATTTCATTGCATCAAACCCACATACCTCACTGCACTGCATCCCATTTATTGCACCCTTTCCCCATGCACCAAGGCTATGCATCCTATTGCAATGCACCCCATTTCACTGCAGCAAACCCACACACCCCATTGCAATGCACCCCATTTGTCACCTTTCTCCATTGCAGTGCACCATTTTATCATGCACTTAACCCATGCATCCTATTGCAATGCACCCCATTTCATTGCATCCTTTCCCCCATGCACTAAACCCATGCACCCCATTTCATTGCACTTTTCCATGCACCCTACTGCAACACACGCCACTTCACTGCACCATTCCCCATGCACTAAACCCATGCACCCCATTGCAATGCACCTCATTTAATTGCACCTTTCTACCATACACTAAACCCATGCACCCCATTGCAATGCACCCCACACTTGATTGCACCCACTGCCTTGCACCCCTTAAAGGGCCACAACATAATTTCCCGACCCACCCACCAATGCTACATAAACACACAGAAACATTTTTACCTCCTAGTCCTCCAGAAAGGAGGGGGGTCCTTTCCACTCCCTTTTTAGTCCATTTCCTGCTTCTCTATGACCCCCTCCCTTCCTTCCTGACTCCCCCCTTTTCTTCATTTGCAGCCACTCTAGGAAGCTGTGTTTTGCTCTTTGGAGGACTGCATTTATTTACAGTCCTTTGGGACTCAGTCTCATTGTTTTGCAAGAACAGCCTTGATTGCTGACCCTCTCCCACATCACCTTCCAGCTCTGCTTCAGAATAATAATAATAATAATAATAATAACAATAATAATAATAATAAAAGCAGCATAGGCTGGGTGGCCCTCTGTTGGGAGGGCTTTGATGGTGTCTTCCTTTATGGCCCAAAGGGGTTGGACTAGATGGCCTTGAAGGGTCCCTTCCAACTCTAGGATCTTATGCTTCTAATAATAATACATATAATAATGTATATAATAATAATAATATTCCACTTTGAGCTCTTGACCCAGAAGCAAATGGCTAAAATAATAACAATAAGAATAATGAATATAATGTAATTAATATAATAATAATATAATGATAAATATATAGTAATAATATTCCACTTTGGCCTGACCCAGAAGCAAATGACTAAAATAACAATAACAATAATGAATATCATGTAATTAATAATTAATATAATAATAATAATATGCTACTTTGACCTCTTGACCCAGAAGCACATAATAATAATAAATATAATGTAATCAATAATAATAAATATAATAATAATAATAATAATAATAATATCCCACTTTGACCTCTTGGCCCAGAAGCAAATGGCTAAAATAATAACAATAACAATAATGAATATAATGTAATTAATAATAAATATATAATAATAATAATATCCTACTTTGACCTCTTGGCCCAGAAGCAAATGGCTAAAATAACAATAAATATAATATAATGTAATTAATATAATAATAAATATATAATAATATCCCACCTTGACTTGGCTCAGAAGCAAATGGCTAAAATAATAACAATAATGAATATAATGTAATTAATAATAAATATATAATAATAATAATAATAATAATATCCCACTTTGACCTCTTGACCCATAAACAAATGGCTCAACTAATAACAATAATAATAAATACAATATAATGTAATTAATATAATAATAAAATAATAAATATATAGTAATAATAATATTCCACTTTGACGTGACCCAGAAGCAAATGGTTCAACTAATAACAATAATAAATGCAATATAATGTAATTAATATAATAATAAATATATAATAATATCTCACTTTGACCTCTCGTCCCAGAAGCAAATGACTAAAATAATTATATAATTATAATAAATATAAAATGTAATATAATAAAATATAGTAATAATTTTAATATCCAACTTTTTATAATAATAATAATAATAATAATAAATGTAACATATTTCTATACACATACTAAAATAGAAAATATGTATGTGTGTGTGTGGATGGGATGTCTACTTGCACAGATATATACATACATATACACACACACACACACACATATCCTATGCAAGTTGAGTGTCCCTCATCCGAAATATTTGGGATCAGAACTGTTTAGGATTTGGGGAAAGAAGTGTATTGGCATACATGTTTTTGTTGTTGTCATTGTTGTTGTTGTTACTGCATGCTTTCCAAATCATGGCTGTCAGTCAAATACAAAGCCATGTAAGATCTATATAAATAAAAATGCAAATGTTTGTTCAAAACCTTAAATCTCCCCAAATACTTCACCGATTGCTTTGACAGCTTGTTTTTAAAATAATTTCCGCACTGCTACATTTGTTTTTATTATTAATTTTTAATAGAAGTTGTTTTAATGAAGATGTTTTTACATGCAATAAAATAGAAAAGGAAAAGTATACATAGGCATATAGCATGCAGGAGAGAGAGGTCATCTACAGCCCTAGAATCGCATTGGAGGCCTTGCAAATGCCTAGAGACAATATAGATATATTCGTAGAGGCAGATAAGTGTGGATACAAGGGTTGTGCTGTATATAAGAAGTGTAGGTATTCCACCCCACACTGCTCAAGTCTGCAGTCCTCAATGAGGAGGGGCTAGTGAGCTGAGAATAGGCTGAGGATTGTATCTACAGTGTTCCCTCACTTATCGCAGGTATTACCTTCCAGGACTTTTGTCTTTGACTTCTACGTTTACATCTGAAAAACATGTAACAGTAACCAAAAGTCCCAGGCTCAGCCATCTCCCTGCATGAAGTCCTGTGCTGTGTGCATTGAGCTCTCTCTCTGTTTATGTGTCAGGAGAGATGTGTAGCTTGGAGATTTCCCCTCTTTTGAACCCTAGAAGAGATGAAGGTATAGAATAGCTAGGTCCCAGTTCTTTTACTATTAAGAAATAGTTATTATTTCTGTAAATAAATCTGTTGTAATCTTCAAGATTGTGTTGGAGCATGCTGAGCCTGGGACTGTGGGTTACTGTTACATTTTTCAGGCTCGAGCTAAGCAGGTGTTTAGAGTGAAGCAGAGACAGATTTTGGAGTCTGCTCACGTTTCATGAACTGCCAAAGGAGTTTGTTTACATGGACAAAGAAAGACAATTGGTCGGACTTCATGTGGGGAGATGGCTGAGCCTGGGACTTTTGATTACTGTTACATTGTCAGGCTCGAGCTAAGCAGGAATAGAGAGAGACACATTTTGGAGTGTGCTCTCGTTTCATGAAGTGCCAAAGGAATTTGTTTACATGGACAAAGAAAGACCATTGGTCGGACTTAATGTGGGGAGATGGCTGAGCCTGGGACTTTTGGTTACTGTCACATTTTTGAACTAAGCAGGTGTTTAGAGAGAAGCAGAGAGAGACATATTTTGGAGTGTGCTCTCGTTTCATGAACTACCAAAGGAGTTTGTTTACATGGACAAAGAAAGACCATTGGTTGGACTTAATGTGGGGAGATGGCTGAGCCTGGGACTTTTGATTACTGTTACACTTTTCAGGCTCGAGCTAAGCAGGAATAGAGAGAGACACATTTTGGAGTGTGCTCTTGTTTCATGAACTGCCAAAGGAGTTTGTTTACATGGACAAAGAAAGACAATTGGTCGGACTTCGTGTGGGGAGATAGCTGAGCCTCGGACTTTTGGTTACTGTTGGTTACAACTGATAACTTGTACATATGCTGTTCTGAACTACGAAAAGTAAACTACTTGCTATTCACTGTTCATCTGCGTGGTGTGTATTTTCTTTCTACGACAAGACAGTGTGTGGGCCGATCAAACGTGAACTACACGTGGTTTACTTTACATTACGCCACAGACTGAACTCTTTGCCTCCTAAGCTCTAAATTCTTTACAGCCATGTGGCACTTCACACTGTGCTTGCTGTGGGCTCAATGTTCAACTTTACGTACGCTGTGTTTGCATATTTTTGGATGCTCTGCTCTATTTTTTGGCTAGTTTTCCCTAACACAGAAAATCCTAACACACAAATAAAGATGAAAACACAGCCAAAATGACAGAAAAAAACATTAACAACAATTTTTGGACTTTTCTTCCAATGTCCTAATATATAAAATCCTACACAGACTACATTATTCCCACGCTTCTTCAGCTCATCAAGACCTACTGAGGAGAAAACAGTTTTCAGGTCATTTATGGGTTTTCTCAAATAGTTTATCCATCTCAGCCAAAAGCATTCGGATTTAACAACGCTTTTCTATTAACGTTGTTGCGCTCTTCCATTTCTGAACATATAATATGGTCACTGAGAATCGTCCAACGAGGGAGTCATGGGAGCAGGGAAATCATGCAATTCCGGCAACCCCTCGCCATTCGGCAACGTGTGGGTTTTCTGATGCCGCATATAGGATCCTCTGTCACGGAAGCTCATCTCGCACTCCAGGCACTTGTAAGGCTTCTCTCCCGTGTGGGCCCGCTGGTGCACCTTCAATGTGCTGCCACTGCTGAAGCTCTTCCCGCACTCCAAACACTGGTAGGGCTTCTCTCCTGTGTGGGTCCTCAGGTGGGAAGTCAGGTTCCCGCTCTGGCTGAAGCTCTTCCCGCACTGCAGGCATTTGAACGGCTTCTCCCCTGAGTGGGTCCTCTGGTGTACGCAGAGGCTTTCCCGGTGGTTGAACCTCCTCCCGCACTCCGCGCATTGGTAGGGCTTCTCCCCAGTGTGGGTCCTTTCGTGTTTGACGCACGACCCGGAATCCACAAAGGACTTCCCGCACTCGGTGCATTTGTATGGTTTCTCCCCACTGTGGGTCCTCTGATGCTTGATGCACGAACTGCTGTCGCTGAAGCCCTTCCCGCACTCTGCGCACTTGTGAGGCTTCTCCTTGCTGTGGATCTTTTGATGCGAACGTAGGTTCTGAGACCGACTGAAGCACTTCTCGCACTCGGTGCATTTGTACGGCTTCTCCCCCGTGAAAGTCCTTTGGTGGCTGGTGCATGCTCCCCGGTGACGGAAGCTCATGCCGCAATCCGCGCATTGGTACGGCTTCTCCCCGGTGTGGGTTCTCAGATGTACTTGCAAGGTGTTGATAGCTCGGAAGCTCTTTCCGCATTCTGCGCACTGATACGGCTTCTCTCCAGTGTGCTTCCTCTGATGCACCACAAGAGCGTATTCCCTCAGGAAGCTCTTCCCACAGACCAAGCACTGGAAGGGTTTCTCTCCGGTATGGATTTTCAGGTGATTGTTGTAGGCGCCCCCGTCGCTGAAGCTCCTCCCGCATTCGGCGCACTGGTACGGCTTCTCTCCTGTGTGTTTCCTCTGATGCACCGACAGCGAGGAGTGCGAGGTGAAGCTCTTCCCGCACTCCGAGCACTGATACGGCCTCTCCCCCGTATGGACTCTTGCATGGGCTGTCAGAGCCGAGCTTCGGATGAAGCTCTTCCCACATTCCGTACACTGATAGGGTTTCTCCCCGGAATGGAGTTTTTGGTGTGCATTCAGGTAAGAGAGCTGGGTGTAGCTCTTCCCGCATTCCGTGCACGTGTAGGGCTTCTCCCCCGAGTGGATTCTCAAATGGATAATGAACTGGGATTTATATCTGAAGAATTTCCCGCAGACAGGACACACTTGTTGCTGACGTTCCGGAGGGTCCTGGGCTTCGCTATTCTCCGTCCTCTGAGAAGTCGATGGCTCCACGGAATCATAGAATGGGAAGAGACCTAGCGAGCCGTCCAGCCCAACCCCATTCTGCCAAGAAGCAGGAAAATTGCATTCAAACCAGTCCTTTTCTTTCTTGGATTGGTCCCTTTGGACATTTGCTNAGGATCTGATAACCTCAAAATAGAATTACTCATGCATAAGCATTGGAAATATCAGCAAGATTCTGAACCGGCAGTGCAAGATGTAGATGTACAGAGTTGCACATAGTTTGCACAATGCCGTCATTCCTTTATAGGGTAATGTGACTACTGAATGCACAGCCATGCATACAATCAAATGTATGACTGAATTATGCAGGTAAAGAGATTCTACCTAAACATGAGGGAGAACTTCCTGAGGGTAAGAGCCGTTGGACAGTAGAATATGTTGCCAGGGAAGTCTCCTTCTCTGGAGGTTTTGAAACAGAGGCTAGATGGCCATCTATTGGGAAGGTTTTAGTTGTATCATCCTGCATGGCAGAAGGGGGTTGGACTGGATGGCCTTTGGGATCTCCTCCAATTCTGTGATGCCATGATTTCATGAATCATAGAATCCTAGAATCCTAGAATCAAAGAGTTGGAAGAGACCTCATGGGCCATCCAGTCCAACCCCATTCTGCCAAGAAGCAGGAATATTGCATTCAAATCACCCCTGACAGATGGCCATCCAGCCTCTGTTTAAAAGCTTCCAAAGAAGGAGCCTCCACCACACTCCGGGGCAGAGAGTTCCACTGCTGAACGGCTCTCACAGTCAGGAAGTTCTTCCTCGTGTTCAGATGGAATCTCCTCTCTTGTAGTTTGAAAACTGTGCTGTCATTTTGTCCAGCTCTGTTAGACCATTCCTGTCTCCTTTGGCCACTAAGGGGCAGCAAACTAATCTGAAAGCAAACCAATGTATTATCTATCCCATGAGGTCATGTGGATTATAACCCACGTCCCCAGTTGCAAGAGGTGTAAATAAGGAAAATATGCATGCAGATTTCAGGTAAAAATGCACACCCTTGTGAGATGGATTGTCAACCATCTAAGGAGGCTGTCCAGACCTTGAACTGGTGCTTGGCCGCTGTGTCGGACTGGATGAGGAGTAACAAATTGAAATTGAATCCAGACAAGACAGAGGTCCTCCTGGTCAGTCGAAAGGCTGAACAGGGCATAGGGTTACAGCCTGTGTTGGATGGGGTTACACTCCCCCTGAAGATGCAGGTTCGCAGCTTGGAAGTGATACTGGATTCATCGCTGAGACAGGAACCCTAGGTTTCGGCAGTGACCAGGGGAGCATTGCACAGTTAAAACTTGTGTGCCAGCTGCGCCCGTACCTTGAGAAGTCTGACTTGGCCACGGTAGTCCACGCTCTGGTTACATCCCGTATAGACTACTGCAACACGCTCTACACGGGGTTGCCTTTGAAGACTATCTGGAAGCCTCAAATGGTCCAACAGACGGCAGCCAGATTAATAACAGGAACGATGCTCAGGGAGCATACAACTCCTGTTATGCCAGACTAATCTGATCGCTTTTTTCAATAAAGTTACAAACTGGGTAGATGCGGGGAATGCCGTGGACGTAGCGTACCTGGATTTCAGTAAGGCCTTCGACAAGGTCCCCCATGACCTTCTGGCAAGGAAACTAGTCCAATGTGGGCTAGGCAAAACTACGGTGAGGTGGATCTGGAATTGGTTAAATGGACGAACCCAGAGGGTGATGCTCCCCAATGCTTCCTCTTCATCCTGGAAAGAAGTGACGAGCGGAGTGCCGCAGGCCAAACAGGGGCCTGGTCCTGTTCAACATCTTTATTAATTACTTAGATCAGTGGTTCTCAACCTGGGGTCCCCAGATGTTTTTGGTCTACAACTCCCAGAAATCCCAGCCAGTTTACCAGCTGTTAGGATTTCTGGGAGTTGAGGCCAAAAGCATCTGGGGACTCCAGGTTGAGATCCACTGCTTAGTGTGATAGGTCATTGTTCCTTGTCCTAAGTTTGCAGATGACACCAAATTGGGAGGGAGAGCCAATACTCCAGAGGACAGGAGCAGGATTCAAAACGATCTTGACAGATTAGAGAGATGGGCCAAAACTAACAAAATGAAGTTTAACAGTGACAAATGCAAGATACTCCACTTTGGCAGAAAAAACAAAATGCAAAGATACAGAATGGGGGACAATGCCTGGCTCGAGAGCAGGACATGTGAAAAAGATCTTGGAGTCCTCATGGACAACAAGTTAAACATGAGCCAACAATGTGATGTGGCGGCAAAAAAAGCCAATGGGATTTTGGCCTGCATCAATTGGAGCCAACAGATTTGTGTAATGATCTAAAACAGCCACTAGGTGGCATTCTGGAACCTTTTACCATTGACAGATTTTCCACGACCCACAGTTTAAGAACCTTTGGATTAGACCACCCATGAGTCCCCTTCTATCTCATAATTCAATATTTATATATCTTGTTTATATTATTGATTTTAATTAGGAACTGTTGAACTTGTTCCTATTGTGTTCTTTGATCACTGACCTGGCATTTCATAATACATGGGTGAAATCCAAATATTGTCATGAACGAGTTCATAAATTAAATTCTCCTGAGACTATCCCAGGCCCAATACTTCAGTTCTGGGTGCCACCGTTCAAGAAGGAAATTGAAGATGAAACACATCCAGAAAAGAGCAACCTAAATGATTAAAGGTCTGGGAACCAAAGCCAGTTAAGAATAACTCCGGAGGCTGGGTATGTTTAGTTTGGAAGAGAAGACTGGAAGATGTTTGATAACCATCTTTAAATATCAGATGGAAGATGGATCCTGTTTGTTTCCTGTGATTCCAGAGACAAGAACATGAAACAATGGGTTCAGTGCAAGACCAGAGTCTGAATCCTTGCTTGTCCATGAAAATCTATTGGGTGACATTGGACAAGTCACACTTTCTCAGCCTCTAAGGCAAAGGCAAATCCATTCTGAACAAATCCTGCCAGGAAAACCCCATAAGTCAGTAATGACTTGAAGGCACACAAAGCAACATCAGCAAAATGGAGGTTAGATGGCCATTTCTCAGGAACAATGTAATTGTCTGGGTTGTTGTAGGTTTTTTCAGGCTATATGGCCATGTTCTAGAGGCATTCTCTCCTAAGTTCATAATGCAAAAGTAAGGAGAACATGCCTCTAGAACATGGCCATATAGCCTGAAAAAACCTACAACAACCCAGTTATTCCGGCCATGAAAGCTTTCGACAATCCAATGCAATTGTCTATTCATGCTTGGAAGAGGATTGGGTTAAATGACCCTTGGAGATCTCAATGAGGATTGGACTAGACGATTCTTGAAGGTCTAAATGAGGGTTGAGCTAGATTACCTTAGGAGATCTAAATAAGGATTGGTGTAGATGGCCCTTAAAAGTCTAAATATAGGAAGACGATTGAACTACATGAGACGTGAAGGACTTGATGACCCTTCAAGGTCTATTTGTATGGTTCTGGGTCCCTATTGCTGGATAATGGATTCCCCAGCTTTGTATGGTCTACCAAATATAAATGAACTTTTTTATGCCACTGGACAGATGTCAACAGGTATTCTAGAACCCATCTTCCCAATGGCAAGGAGACCCACTGATTGCATTTATCTTCAGTATATTATAGAACATCCTTTTCTGCCATATACTAGCATTCTTTTATTTATTGCAGTAAGCTTTCCCACGGAACAACAGACTGGTTCAAGATTGGGAAAGGCGTACGGCAAGGCTGCATCCTCTCACCCAACCTTTTTAACTTGTATGCAGAACACATCATGCGAGGATGTGCGGGGCTGGATGAATGCAAAGCTGGGGTGAAAATTGCTGGAAGAAACATTAACAACCTCAGATATGCAGATGACACCACTCTGATGGCCGAAAGCGAGGAGGAGCTGAGGAGCCTTCTAATCAAGGTGAAAGAAGAAAGCGCAAAAGCTGGGTTGCAGCTAAACGTAAAAAAAACCAAGATGATGGCAACAAGAATGATTGACAACTGGAAAATAGAGGGAGAAACCGTGGAGGCCGTGACAGACTTTGTATTTCTAGGCACAAAGATGACTGCAGATACAGACTGTGGCCAGGAAATCAGAAGACGCTTCCTTCTTGGGAGGAGAGCAATGTCCAATCTCGATAAAATAGTAAAGAGTAGAGACATCAGACTGGCAACAAAGATCCATTGCCTAGTCAAAGCCATGGTCTTCCCTGTAGTCACCTACGGATGTGAGAGCTGGACCTTAGGGAAGGCTGAGCGAAGGAAGATCGATGCTTTTGAGCTGTGGTGTTGGAGGAAAGTGCTGAGAGTGCCTTGGACTGTGAGAAGATCCAACCAGTCCATCCTCCAGGAAATAAAGCCCGACTGCTCACTGGAGGGAAGGATACTAGAGACAAAGTTGAAGTATTTTGGCCACATCATGAGGAGACAGCAAAGCCTAGAGAAGACAATTATGCTGGGGAAAGTGGAAGGCAAAAGGAAGAGGGGCCGACCAAGGGCAAGATGGATGGATGGCATCCTTGAAGTGACTGGACTTACCTTGAAGGAGCTGGGGGTGGTGACGGCTGACAGGGAGCTCTGGCGTGGGCTGGTCCATGAGGTCACGAAGAGTCGGAGACGACTGAACGAATGAACAACAACAAAGCTTTCCCAAGGGAAAACATTCAGGAATGATAACCCTTCATTGCAGTACCCAAGAAACAATATCATTCTGTGATAGACATGAAAAGGAACCCAGTTAAGTGAATGTGTTTTGTGTGTGCTTCCAAAGCCAAGCTTTTCGGCCCCATAGGTCTTCTGATTGAAGAGGTCTTCTTTCAGCATGCAATCAGAATCTCATGCATAGGAGGGAACATATATCTGAATAATGTTCAAGTGGGAAGAGCAAGATATTGCCCTGTCCTCTCCTCTCTGCTGATTTAATTTAATACAAGCTACTTTTGCATTATGGACTCAGTTTGCAGTAATTGAAGCAAGCCAAGGACAAAGAGGAAGATGGTTGCAAAACATCAGAATGGGTAATTATGCTGGTGACATCCCTTGCTGCAGGATGGTCAAATAATCTCAAGGCACCGGATCCTGTCTGGTCTTGGAACCTAAGTGGAGTCAGCCCTGGTTAGCACTTGCATGGGAGACCA